CCTGGGGGGAGTCCAGCCTGCACTCTGGCACGAGAGGCTACAGGCTGATGCTGCGCTGGTGGCGCCCCCCACGAACTCCCCCGTCGCTGCCCCGGCGGCCCCCACTCCGGGGTCCCAGCTCTTGGCCATCCAGGCTGGCATGGTCCGAGAGGCCTCGCAAATGCTCCACGGAGTCGCACTTCTGCAGGTCAGAGGCCACAGTGCGCAGGCTCAGCAGGCTCAGCGTGTCCGTGTCAGGGCCTGGGCCGGGCCCCAGGCTGCTGCCCTCCTCCAGCCCCCCACCCTCAGCCCCCTCGATCCCGCTGTCCCCGTCCTCGACGCTCTCAGGCCCAGCCTCTGCCCCCACAGGGGAGGAGCGCCGTGGGCCAGGTTGGTGGAGAGGCAGGCCCCGGCGGCGTGCATGAATCTGCTCGCTGATCTGCTCCAGATTGCGCAGGGCCACCGAGTAGCGGGTCTTAGCCTGGGCCACCTGCTGCTCCAGTTCTGTCACCTTGGCCTTGTGCTCCTGCAGAGAGCGAGGCAGGGCGTGATCTGTGGCCACCTCTCCCAGAGTATCCCCACAGGCCTGCAACACCTCACCGCCATCCTGGCTCCCCATGCTGTCCCTGGCCACAATCCTGCCAACTTCTGACCTCAGTCCCACCTTTCAGAGACTTCTGCCAAGGCTTCAACCAATCCCCTGGTCCTCACCCAGTCCCACTGTAGCTTGTCTCCCTTCTGCAAGTATATTCTCCACAAGCACGAGCCCTGGTCTAGCCTCCACTCCTGCAGGGTCACCCTGAGCACAGGCGTCCCTGTCCTTGCCCTGCGCAGCCCACCAGGATGGCCCAGAGGGGCACACCAGCAGCCCCTCCCCACCTGCCCTCACTTCCCACACACCTGGCTTCCCTTCCCACCACTGCCTCCCACTCAGCTACCTCCAGGATCTGGCTGAACTGGGCCTTGAGCTCGAAGTAGGGGCGGCTCTTGCCGATAGCTCGCCGGAGGGTCTTCTGTAGGGCTTGGACCCGAGCCTCCGCCTGCTGGCACAGCCGCGTCACCCGCTGATGCTCTCGCTCACCTCGAAGCCGCTCCTCCTCCGCCTCATTCACCTGGCCCGGGGGGCAGAGGACACACATCACTGAGCAGGGACCCATGCTTCTGGTCCAGGTGCCAATCTAAGGTCACCTCAGGGAACCTGACGGCTGCCGAGCCCAGGACACAGGAACGCGGCGTTGGTGAGCCTCGGTGGAGCTTCCTTCCTTCCCTTCAGGATCCGCAGGCGACCAGGTGACCTTCAAGGACCAGGTCTGGGGTACGTGGCGTGGTGGCCACCTCCTCCCTGGGCTCTGCCAGGTGTCGCCGGCACAATCCCACACCTCTCCCCAGCTTTGCTGCTGCCTTGGAATGGCACTCGCACCCACTCTACTCTCAACACCTTGCACGTCACCGCCACCAACATCCTGGGGGTGCCCTCAGTGCCAGCAGTTAGGGCTCAAGGGCAGGAGGAGTCCCTGTATGAGAAGTCACTTACGTACTGGGTTCTCACACCTTACTGTGCAGTCCAGAGCCACACCTGAGCAAGGGAGCAAGTGATGACCTGCCACCTGGTCTGTGGAGCAGCTGACTGCACCACACTCTGGGCAAACCCGCACCAGAGCCCCTTCAACGCCTCCTCCGACCTGCTGTGCTCCAGCCTGCAGGGGTCCCAGGAAGCAGTGGCTGCTCTGTGCGTGCAGCATGCAGAAATGCAGGACATGTGGCCAGGAGCAGTCACTCACCCCGCACAGACCAAAGGTGGCAGGAGGAGCCACTGGCAGAGACCCTGCTGCTCCCTGCCTCCCGGGTCCTCTTTCCAAAGCTTCTCAGTGAGACAGAAACTGTGCTTGAGAAGTCAAGGTATCCTGACAGCTAAGAATGCTGAGCCCAGGTGCCCACCAGGGATCAACTGTGTGGCCTGATGCCACCCCCGCAGCCCAGGCACGAGTGGTGCCCAAGATGGCACTCAAAGGCAGAGGGCCTGGACTGTGGGAGGCATCACAGCCACACAGGGTAGAGGGCTAAGAATGCGTCGGCCTGAAACTGAATCAAAGTCGAGGCGGGGAGGGCTGGGGACGGGGACGCGTGGGCAGCCGAGGTGAGGAAGGGAATGAATGCAACGGAAGGGCCGGCCTCACCTTGCAGGTGGCATGGTTGAGCATCTCCTGCCACGTGGGGTCCAGTCGGTTCTTGTCGGCCATGACTCCCTGCTCAGCCACGAACACCATCTCCCGAGCAGCGTTGTGCATGCTCACAGCCCGCTCGTACCGCAACGCTGCCTTCTGCGTCTCCTGCTGAGCCTGCAGGCACCAGCCGTCAGGACAGGGCGCCAGGGCGGGGGCGGGGCGTTCCCGCCACCCACAGCCGCCCTTCAAGGAGGTAAGGACAAGGCAGAGGAAGGCCAACTGGTAACATTAGCTTTGTTTCCCAAACTGTTCAGGATGAATGCCATGAGGCAGAACACTATCAAAGGACACGTCACAAGGGTGTGGACCAGGAGAAGTAGGCAGAGAAACAGACAGGGTAAAGAAAGACACCGCGTTGTGGGGTGAAACCCAGCTCAGAGGCTGCTCCCTTCTGCCCAGGGAGAACAAGGGGAGCCAGACCACATGCAGCTGAAAGGTGGTTACAACACGGGCCTGGTCTCACAGCAAGTGTGCCCCTGGGCCGTCAACTCCACAGCCAGACAAGTGCCAGCAACATTCAACAAAGCCACACGTCTGAAATCCAAACACCTGAACTCGGAAATGCTCCCAGCTCCAAGACTGCGAGCGCCAGCAGGATGCCCCAGCAGATAATTCCATTCATTTCTGTTTCATGCACGGAATTATGGAGAATATAGCCTAAAGTTACCTTCAGGCTGCATGAGTAAGGTGTAGAAATGGAAAACAGAAATGAATTCTGTGTTCAGACTCAGGTCCCCTCCCCAAGATAGCTCATGAACATTCCAAAATAAAAAAAGTTAAAAAAAAAAATCAAAAACAGCTCTGGTCTCAAGCATTCAGACAAAAGGTATTCAACCTGTACCAACCAAGCAAAAACCTGGACACAAACCCAAATAAGCTTCTACTACAGGAACCAGCCACATGAGCAACAGTGCACCGAGCAGGGGGAGCCGCTCATCAGCCAACAGCATGGGTGTCTACTTATTGACATGGAGCCATTCTGGCAGGATATATGCTAAAATCACCTATTAAATGGTTATCTGTGCTGTACTAACTTTCTTTAAATTTTCTCTATTTAATGATGCTGTGACACCAGGGAGGCCTCCCTGGCCAGAGGGACTGCTTCCGGCAGGGCTGATCACTTCCTAGACTGAACCCCCAGTGACTCCATCTTTCACAGGCAGTCTGACCTGACCAAAGCCCAGATCCCCCAGCACTTCCTTTACCTGGCTCACACCAAGCCATACCTCCCAGGCCCAGGAAACGGACAGCAGATCGCCCCTATAGCCCCCACCCCGGTTACCCAAACCAGCAACCCTGTATTTCAAAGCCTGCCTGCCCCATCCCACAGCTGAGGCTGTGAGCCACACTTCCTTCTTGGCTGCTGTCCCCGACTGACCCAGGTGCTCCCCCATGTGGCCAAGCGAAGCACAGCAGGTCCCTTCCTGGGGAATAAACTTCAAGGCAGAGGGGACCCTGCTTGTCACTCACTCCACAGATTAAACCAAGACCCAGTTCACAAGGCTTGAAATGTGCAAGGTAGGATTAGAAGCAATTTTGTTTTTCTTCTTGTTATAGCCTTCCGATGGGGAACACAGATAATTTGTGTAGAAGTGAGGCATGAGCAAAAAAATGTTGCAGAAACAGACATGGCCCACAGGGAAGTAACAAAGGACAAGACAAGATGAAGACAGTAGGACGTCAGAGCGACATCCGGGAAGCAGATACACCATGGAGCCTGGTTCCTCACACACACACAAGACTCTCAAGCGTCATCAGGGAGCCAACCCTTGAGCACGCCCCATCACTTTCTAGAACGTGACTCAGGGCCTGTGGTGATACAGGAACCTCTCAGCCTGCAGAGCTGGCTCAGAGCAGAGCCAGGCCTGCAGGGCGCCCTGCACGCAGGTCTGGAACCCTGCCCCACAGCCCTACAGAGATGAAGGGTCTGAGCCAGGCTCTGTTGCAGCTCAGCGGCCATACCTCTTTAGCCAGCCGCCGGGCCTCGTAGTAGGGCCGGGCCTTCTCAATGCAGCTCCCGAGCTGGGAGCCCTGAGCGTTGAGCTTCCTTGCCGACTCCTGCAGGATCCTCCGATACGTGGTCCTGGCCTCCTGGCAATGGGACAGAGTGGAGGGAAGGCAGCTATGGGTCCCGGCCCCTCCTGTGTCTCAGCCATGCCCCCGCCCACCGCTGTCTCGATGTGGGAGGGACAGGAGAGACGTTCCCAAGAACACTCACATCCAGCTGCAGCTCCACCTGGTTGATCTCCTCGCTGGCCTGGTTCAGATGCTCCAGCTCCTCCTGCCATGGAGACGAGAGGAGTAGTTAGAGTGCTGGCGAAACTGCACAGCCTTGGCAATGGCAGGCAGGATACCCAGCTGCCAGGAAGGGAGATGTGGAAGGCCTCCTTGTCAGAGTCGTCACAGCTCCACCTCGCATCGGGGGTAAAACACCCATTTTTTTCCCATTTCAGGGATAAGGAAAGCAAGGTTTGGAAAATGCAAACTATTTTTTTTTTTTTTTTTTTGACAGGCAGAGTGGACACTGAGAGAGACAGAGATAAAGGTCTTCCTTTGCCGTTGGTTCTCCCTCCAATGGCTGGTGCACTGCGCCGATCTGAGGCCAGGAGCCAGGTGCTTCTCTTGGTCTCCCATGCGGGTGCAGGGCCCAAGCACTTGGGCCATCCTCCACTGCATCCCGGGCCACAGCAGAGAGCTGGCCTGGAAGAGGGGCAACCGGGACAGAATCCGGTACCCCGACCAGGACTAGAACCTGGTGTGCTGGTGCCGCTAGGTGGAGGATTAGCCTATTGAGCCGCGGTGCCGGCCGCAAACTTTTTTTTTTTTTTTAAAGATTTATTTATTTATTTGAAAGGCAGAACTACAGAGAGGCAGAGGCAGAGAGAGACAGTGAGGGAGGGGGAAGAGAGCGAGGCTGGTGGGGAGAGAGAGAGAGACAGACAGACAGAGATACGTCTTCCATCACTGGTTCACTCCCCAGTTGGCCAAAATGGCTGGAGTTCCACCAATCCAAAGCCAGGAGCCTCTTCTGGGTCTCCCACGTGGGCACAGGGGCCCAAGCCCTTGGCCCATCTTCTGCTGCTTTCCCAGGCCATAGCAGAGAGCTGGATCGGAAGGGAAGCAGCTGGGACTCGATCCGGCACCCATATGGAATGCTGGCACTGCAGGCGGCAGCTTTACCTGCTACGCCACAGCGCCGGCCCCTGCAACACTATTATGCACACAATGCAATGGCACGAGTTCTTCTGCTCTATCAGATGGCACCACTTCTTCCCACTTCCTCCCACCCAGAGCAGAGCCCCTCCCTCAATCCACGTTTCTTGCACATTTATCAGCTCATGGACCCTGACACCGAGAGAGAGGGCACAAGGTAGGGACCCTGAAGAAGCCCAGCAAGAAGGCAGCAAGCCCTCTCAGTGCATGAAGGGTGTGGGGGGCCGAGGGGCCCTGTGGGCAGCAGCAGCCTAGAGCGCCTGCCTCCCAGCCAGGACTCGACAGAGGTTCACAGAAGTACCAGGGAAGGGACGCAGACAAGCTGGCAGGCGAGACCAGCAGGCTGGGGAGGAGACAACATCCTTTCTCAACGGCACAGGTGCCACACAGGCCATAGTACAGGCAGACAGTGGGCCTAGGAAAGGAAAGCCCAGGGGGGCTGGGGAACGGAAGTGGAGGCTGCCTGCAGTAGTCCAGCTGGGAGAGAGCAGACACCACAGACATGCAGGACACAGAATCCCAAGGTCTGGTGGACATCAGAGCAAGACCAAGAACAGCACAGGCCCCAAAGGGCCTCTGGGCCTACTTGAGCCAGGTGTGATGGCAACCCCACGCCCTGACACAGCAGATCCCCGGGGAGAAGGGAGGGGCTTGGGGAGATGTTACCAGGCTGGTCTGACATTCCATGAAGTCAGAGAGCTAGGGGGAGGTGGGGTATGCTGGCCTCAAGTTATCCTCCCCGCCCGGGGAAAACACCCAAGTTCCCAGAGCTGCTGGTGAGCTGAGGACACTCAGAGGAACAAGGCAGCCCTGTGCCAAGGGTGATGCCCCAGAGATGCCTGGCACTCAGCTACAGAACCCTCTCCAAGCACCCCAGCCTGCTGTCCAGACATGACCGACACCACCATCCTGTCCCATTCACGCAGCGGAGACCTGGGCCCCCACCTGGCTCCCTCGGCTGTCTAGCCGGCTGCAGAGGGGCTGGGTAGGCTCTGGTGATCCCGTTCAGTTCTTTCCTTTCTAAATCCCCAGCTCTGCCTTGAGTCAGCAAGAACACAGGCTACGAGCCAGCACCCTTACAAGAAAAGGTGTTGATCGCTAAGGGACCAGGAGTGAGGATGGGAAACGCGCCTCAGGAGGGGCAGCTGAGGTTTTGCTCAGGACGCTCTCCAGGGGGCTGCCCAACAGGACACCCTGAGTCACTCAGCCACGTTCAGTTTCCTAGCAGCCATTTCTCAAAGTAGAAAACAGGTGAGATCACAACAATGTTTCATTTACCCTAATATACATCCGCAGGATTATCATTTATGTATACAGTAAGCATAAAATAATACTATCAACCACGCTTTCACTTGTTTACAAAAGTCAAAACCCACATGCAGGGCCCAGCACTGTGGTTCAGTGGGTTACGCCACCGCCTGTGAAGCCAGCATTCCCTATCAGAGCACTGGTTAGAGTCCTGGTTGCTCCACTTCTGATCCAGCTCCCTGCTAATTCACCTGCGAACGCAGGACAAGATGGCCCAAGGGCTTGGGCCCCTGCCACTCCCATGAGATCCCAAGGGAGTCCCTTGGCTTCTTCCTGACCCAACTCTAGCTGTTGCAGCCATCTGGGGAGTGAACCAGCGGATGGAAGATCTGTCACGACCCCCACTCTGTGCCTTTCAAATAAATAAATCTTAAAACAACAGCAACAGAACACATGCATTTGGCCCTCAGCTTCCATCTCAGCTTGGAAAGTGGCTCCTGTACTGGACGATGGGGAAGTGGGAGGTGTGGGCGGGAAGCCAGATTAGTCACACAACTCGGTCCATAGAATGACAGCAAACCTCTCTGAACCACAGAAGCCCACAAAGCTCAAAGACCCCAGAGGAGGTCTGGGGGCGGCACCGACACCACCACACATCACATCAGCTGATGGGCTCACTCCATAGACCCCAGAGGTCTGGGGGCGGCACCGACACCACCACACATCACATAAGCTGACAGGCGCACTCCATAGACCCCAGAGGAGGTCTGGGGGCGGCGCCGATACCACCACACATCAGCTGACGGGCGCACTCCACAGGGCCCTCAAATAGGCAGCTCCCATCAGGGGTGGGCCCAGCTGCAGCAGTGCAGCTCAGGCCTGGGTGTCGGGCTCTGTGAGAGGACTGGTCCCTCCAGCAGCCCTGCCTGGAATACTTTTCCAATCCACTCACTTACAACGCATGAGAAACAACGGTGCTGGCAAGCGGTGAGCATCTGGTCTCACTTTTCTGACACTGTGACCAACCTGCTGGAACGGAGGCTGTCCCAGGACGGACCCCTGGGAGAGCAGTGCTGCAAATGGACAGGCCTCAGGAACGGGCACACACTGACTGCAGGGCAAACAAGGAGTGGACAGAGACTACAGCTGCGTTCTCATCAGCAAACCAAGCTCTGAAGGTCAGGGCCCACTCGTTTCCACAGCCCAAAGTGCTTCCAGTTCTCAACCCCAGGACACGAATGTCTCAGCCTCAGCTGTCCTCCCTGGAAAAGGACAAGGTAGCCGGCAGCAGGAGCAGGCATGATCCTTCCACAGGAACCAGCACCCCGACGGCATCCCCAGCAAGGAAGAACAGCCGTCTGTGGAGCTCTGCACGGGGGTCGCCCGGGGACAGAGAAACCCGAGGGCCAGGGAAGCAGGGGAGGGGGCTCCAGGCTGGAGCACACCCAGGGCAGGGCGAGAGGAAGCCACTGAGCACGTGGGGCACCATCTGGAGTGTCCGCTGCACACTCCGTGGAGAGCGCTCTACGAGGGACTCCTGGCCCCAGCTACAACGGAGTTCAGGGAGGACAGAGTCTGAGTCAGCGTGCACCAGCCAGCAGAGAGCCAGCAGCCAGCGGGGAGGGCGACCTTCCCGGGGCACACCAGGGCATTCCGTGGCTGCCAGGCCACGGAGCTCAGGGCCCCACCTACTGCAGCCATCAAGAGACTCAGGCCGGTGGGGTTGGGGTGACGACTGTCCTGTCACCAACACTGCTGCACCGTCCCTTGTAGAACGGAGACAAGCGGCTGAGCGCGTGCATCCACACAGCCAAGGAGAGAGCATGCCCACCACGAAGGGCAGCAGCCCCAGGCCCACGCCAGCACTCCCTCCCCCCCCCATTTCCACTGGCACCCTCTCTAAGGAAGCAGTGTGCAGGACACAGAGACCTCCCCAGTGAGGTCGACAGCACGGAGACACAGCCCGTAACTTCCCCTGGAGGACACCAGCCTGCAGCCAGGGGCCAGTGGTCTCCCAGCCACTCCGAGAGGCCTCCCAGTAGACATGGGAGGATGAGTTGCTTGCCTGCGAGTTCAGGAGTCTGACCCTAAGGGCAGCCAGCCCCCACCTTCGGAATGCCCTTGACCCAGTGGGCTCCACCCTGACTGCTCACGGGACCACTCCTCACCCTGCCCAGACCATGGGCATCCTCGTGTGGAACTCAGGAGAGTGGGTTTTTAGTTTCCCTGTGATGGGTCCGTGGGTGGGGCCCACTAAATGCACCGACACCTGAAGTAGTGCCTGTTCAGAGCGCTGAGCAGCATTATCAGGGCACTGTCACCACCAGGGGACCTCAGACACACACCCTCATCTCGGAGTCGACCAGGAGTCCAACCAGGAAAGTGAAATGCCACCGCGTCCTCCACAAAGGGCGTCCCTGGCACCGGCCGCCTCTTCTCTGGGCAGGGAGGTGTTGAGGGCGCAGTCCTCTCGCCACACCTGTGTCACTGAACAAGCGAGGCTGCAAAAAGGCCTTTCCTCCCCAGGCCACCCCCAACCTCCACACAAGGCCGCGAGGTCAGCCGGAGAGAACGGCACCAGCAACTGGCAGCCCGCACCCGGCAGAGCTGCCAGATGCCAGACCGTCCCACTTCTGCACTGAGGACGGCCCTGTCAGCACTGTGCAGGGGATCGCATTTAATTTCAATTGATTGTATTCACGTGGCCACACGCGGCTGGCGGCTACCTTTTTGGACAGCGCAGTGTACATCTCTTCCTTCTCTTCCGTTCGCCTAAGCGGCCCCTGGAAAAGCAGGCAGGGAGCAGAGAGCAGAGACCCCGGGGCCCCGCCCTGCAGACTGCCCCGTGGTGAGGCAGGCCACCAATGCTGCAGGGACCCTCGACAGGTGCACCACACAGCCTCCTCCCCGGGAACAGTTCTTCCCCAAAGAGCTGTGTGCAAAAGGTTTGGGAAGAGAAGAATCAGGGCCCTGCGTCAGAGCAGAGTGAGAACGGGTGAAGCAGCTGGATCTCCCTCTACAGATGAAGAGACCGAGGAGCTGCCCCAAAATCACAACCCACGGGGCTGGAGGCTGCGGACGCTCAGCCCAAGGCTTGCACACGGCCACTTCTCCCCTCAGTGGCCAAAAGGAAAGGTCTGGAGAAGCTGCGCTGCTTCCACCGTGTCCACGGGGCGCGGCAGAGAATACGTGACCGACTCACTCCAGAGACGAGGGCTCGCCACTGCTCCATCGGCAGCACGGACACAGAGCCGAGCCCACGCCGCCTCTGGTCCTCTTCCACCGTGTCCACGGGGCGCGGCAGAGAATACGTGACCGACTCACTCCAGAGACGAGGGCTCGCCACTGCTCCACTGGCAGCACGGACACAGAGCCGAGCCCACACCGCCTCTGGTCCTCTTCCACCGTGTCCACGGGGCGCGGCAGAGAATACGTGACCGACTCACTCCAGAGACGAGGGCTTGCCACTGCTCCACCGGCAGCACGGACACAGAGCCGAGCCCACGCCGCCTCTGGCTCTCTGGGACTCACTGGAGGAGCCCAGTCCAGGCCTGCTGACCGGGGCCCAGGACGCTCCGCTCACCGCACAGGGGCAGTCACTTCCACAACAGTGGAGACGCAGTCCGGGCCCTGACCACCCAGGGGCCCCTCGTCATCCCCTGCCCCAGCAGCTGCCCCGGGGACCCTCTCACCCAATCCTGCGACACCACAGCCCAGCCTCAGCTGCCGGGTGGCTCCTCCTCGGGGACCTGTCTGTCCTGCCAACCAGACTGAACGCTCCAAGGCAAAAAACACTGCTCTTGCATTCCCTTGGTAGATGCACTGTCCACAGAGGCGAGAATGTGCAGCAAAAATGGACCATGACTAACACAAATCTCCACAGGCCAAACCCTGATGCTACCTATGAAGCGGCTGCAAGGCTCACCATTCACAGACGTAAAAATTCCCTTCTGAGAAGGCAGGAAGTGGGAAGAGTCCCTTAGCCTCAAAACGGCCTCTTCACCCACCCAGCGACTCACACAGCATTACTGATCACCAGCCCTGCTGGCTGCGGGGAAGTACACCACCATGCCCCCTCCCGTCCCCTCCCCACCCCTCCCCACTCCCACTCCCACCCGCAGAAGTGTGCTTCTGCCTCTGCCGTCCACTGGGTGCTCCGCTTCTTCAGGGACGCGAACACCCTGCGCTCCAGGCTCCCCGGCTGGGCCTCTCTGCAGCACACCGCACTCTGGACACGCCACGCGACCTTCCCAAGGGCCTGCTGACAACCTTGATTTCCTTTCCCGCCCGGCACGTGGGGGCACAGGTGTCAGGCCCGAAGCTGGCCCTCTTCTCACCTGGATCCTAGGGTCCAGTTCTTCCTCCTCCCTGGGGGACAACTTGGCCTCGCCGCTGCCGCCTCCGCCTCCTCCCGGCTCCTCTGCGCCTGGGCTCCTGGGGACTTCCTCCTCCACGGCCTCAGGCCGCAGCTCCCCCTGTGGGGTCTCCCGTCCCCCGGAGCCTGTCTGAACTCCGCCATGCGGCCCGGGAGAGGGCAGGGCCCTAGGCACAAGGCAGGACTGCCATGCTGGGACCAGGGCCCCAGCCTGAGGCCTGGGGGGCTCTGGATGGCAGAGGCGGCAGGAGGCAGAGCCTCGCAGCCGACTAGAGGCGGAACGTCACGCTGCCGGCGGGCCTGCTGGAGCTAACGCCTCGACCGCGCAGACCTTCTTCCCTCCTCACCGCCGGGAGTCCACGCAGGGAGACCCGGAGCTGCGGCTCCGAGGCAGGGGGCACAGGCGGCCTGGATCCTGGGCCGAGGCCTGCGAAGAGGAGCACCATTCGGGAGGGTGGAGGCGGGCGGCGCCTCCAGGCTGTGGCGGCGGCGGGAGAGGAGGCTGAGCCGCAGCAGAGGCCGCGGGGCGGGCGTCTCTGGGGAGCTGCAGGGGAGACAAAGGCCCGGCGTCTGGTCCAGTCCGCCTCAGAACCGCGGCCACCAGCCCCTCCCGACCTCCCGCCTCCCAGGGCTGCACCCCTGCATTCCCACCTGCGCACCCGCCACGTCCCTTCCGGGCCCCCAAGGACTTCAGGTCCGACCCGGCCCCGCGCCAGCCCCTCTCACCCCAACCGACACCTGCACGCCTCCCTCGGGGGCCCGCTCTCCGGCGCCCCAGCCCCGCCCCACGCCCCTCGCCCCAAGCCTGCGGAGCAGCCCTGCCGCCTCCCACCGCAACCCCTCCGCACCCCCAAAGCCCTGCCCCAGGAATCCGCATAGGCGCCGCGAAAGCTCCCTTTGTAGCCTTACCTCAGTTTACCTTCCCGGCCGCGGAGCTCCGCGGCTGCAAACAATCTTCCCCCGCCCTGCTCACAACAAGCCGGCCCAACCAAAACGACCGGGCCGGCCGGAAGCGGAAGTGCCTCACTGGGTGACCACGCCCCTGCCGCGCCCCCGCCCGCGGGGCTTCATGAGGGTTTCCGGATGCGGCACCCCGCCCAGCCTTCGCCGTATTTTCCGTACAGGACGCCGCTCAGCCTCAGCTTATGCTGCGTGCAGCCCATTTCCCACCGGTGCTGAGTGAAATAAAGATACAGGCTGGCGGTTGTGAGAAGGATCCGGGCGAGTGGCAGGAATCAGGAGTAGGAAAGTGTTTGAAATAAAGCCCAACGGGCGGCTCGCCGCCGCGGAGCGGACGCCGCCATCTTGCCTTACGGCCCCGGGCCGCCGGCTGTGGGAACGCCCAGGAAGGCGGGGCGACGCCGGAAATGAGCTCGTGACTTCCGGCTGCCGTGGCCGGGGCTGCCGCGGCCTGAGGCGAGGGGCTGAGCGCTGAGCCGCGAAGTGGGTTTCCAGAGCGGCTTCCCGTCCGGTGGGGTAAGGCGCGGACCCTGGGGCTGTGCGGGGCGCCGCCCGGCTCCCTTACGTGCCGTCCGGAGGGCCTGCGGCCCCTCGCCCTCTCCCCAGCCCCGGGGTGAGCGCACCCCCAGAGCGAACGTGGCTCCCTCGAGTGTGGCGCGGCCTGACCCCACCTGCTCCTCCGCCGGGGGCGGGTGATGTTGCGGCCGGCGGCGGCGGCGCGGGTTGCGTCTCCGTAGTTGTCCTGTAAGGGCTCGCGGTTCCATCCTGGACAGCAGCTCTGCAGCTGCCTTCCCGTGCAGCCTCTGGTGCGTATCGGACCCCCGGGTTCCCCAGCCCCGCGACCCTCGTCTGGCTCCTGCCGCTGCCAGCCCTCAGCTGGTCTGCGCTAAGATCGTCGATCTGACCCCGCGAAGTCCCGGCGTCTGGCCTGGGTATTTCTGCCTCGTCCTGCGTGTCCTTCACTTCCCTGGGGGCTGGTCGAGTCCTGGGGTCTGTTGCGTTTCAAAAGGTGCCGCGATTTTGGACAGCGATGACCAAAACGATGCTGTCTCAGTGTTACGGTGCTCATTTTGTAAACCGATCCACTCGCACTAATTGGGACACAACCTGGAAATTACATATATGTGGTAAATATTGTAAAAAGTGTCAGAAAAAGATCTTTACCCAAACTATATGGAAGGCACATTAACTTTTTTTTTTTTTTTTAAGATTTATTCACTTTGAAAGTTACAGAGAGAGGGAGAAATGACAGAGAGAGGTTTTCCATCTGCATGGCCACAGTGCCCACTGCTGGGACAGGCTGAAGCCAGGAGCTTCACTGGGGCCTCCCAGAGGGTGGCAGGGGCTCAAACACGTGCACCGCTTTTCCCAGGCCATTTTCAGGAAGCGGGATCAGAAATGGAGCATCCAGGACGTGAGCTGACACCCATGTGGGTTGCCAGCATTGCAGGCGGAGGCTTTAGCAGCTGTGTCACAATGCCAGCCCTTACATTTTCTTTTCCCCCCCTTTTAAAAAGTAATTTATTTGAAAGGCAGAGTTACAGAGAGGCACAGGCAGAGAGAAAGAGAGGTTTTCTATCCACTGGTTCACCCCCCAGATGGCTGCAACAGCCAGAGCTGGGCCCATCGGAAGCCAGGAGCTTCTTCCACATCTCACACACTGGTGCAGAGGCCCACGCATTTGGGCCATGTTCCTCTGCTCCCCCAGGCCATAGCAGAGAGCTGGATCAGAAGCGGAGCGGGCAGGACTTGAACTGCGCCCGTGTAGGATGCTGGTACTGCAGGCAGCGGTTTTACCTGCTACACCACAGCATCAGCCCACCAATATTTTCCTTTAGGATTTATTTTACTTCTTCTTCTTTTTTTTTAAGATTTCTTTTTTTTTTTTTTTTTTTTTTTTTTTTTTGACAGGCAGAATGGACAGTGAGAGTGAGAGACAGAGAGAAAGGTCTTCCTTTGCCGTTGGTTCACCCTCCAATGGCCGCTGCGGCCGGCGCACCACGCTGATCTGATGGCAGGAGCCAGGTGCTTCTCCCGGTCTCCCATGGGGTGCAGAGCCCAAGCTCTTGGGCCATCCTCCACTGCATCCCGGGCCACAGCAGAGAGCTGGCCTGGAAGATGGGCAACCGGGACAGAATCCGGTGCCCCGACTGGGACTAGAACCCGGAGAGCCGGTGCCGCTAGGTGGAGGATTAGCCTAGTGAGCCGTGGCGGCGCCAGCCTTTTTTAAGATTTCTTTTATTTATTTGATAGAGTTACAGAGAGAGGTACAGACAGAGAGGTCTTCATCTGCTGGTTCACTCCCAGATGGCTGCAATGGCTGGAGCTGCGCCAATCCAAAGCCAGGAGCCAGGAGCTTCTTCCAGGTCTCCTACATAGGTGCAGGGGCCCAAGGACTTGGGCCATCTTCTACTGCTTTCCCAGGCCATAGCAGAGAGCTGGATTGGAAGAGGAGCAGCTGGGACTCGAACTGGTGCCCATATGCAATGCTGGCGCTTCAGGCCAGGGTGTTAACCCGCTGAGCCACAGCACTGGCCCCAAGATTCATTTTACTTATTTGGAAGAGTTTAAAAGAGAGCAGGGGAGGCCAGTGCCGCTGCTCACTAGGCTAATCCTCCACCTGCAGCACTGGCACTCTGGGTTCTAGTCTGGGTTGGGGCACCGGTTCTGTCCTAGTTGCTCCTCTTCCAGTCCAGCTCTCTGCTGTGGCCCGGGAGGGCAGTGGAGGATGGCCCAAGTCCTTGGACCCTGCACCCGCATGGGAGACCAGGAGGAAGCACCTGGCTCCTGGCTTCGGATTGGCGCAGCGTGCCGGCCGTGGCAGCCATCTGGGGGTTGAACCAACGGAAGGAAGACCTTTCTTTCAAAAAAAAAAAAAAAAGGTCAGGGGAGAGAGGTATCTTCCATTCTCTGGTTCACTTCCTAAATGGCCACAATGGCCAGGGCTTGGCCAGGCAGAAGCCAGGAATCTGGAACCCCACCTCCATCTCATATTGGAGGCAGGGACCCAAGTCATCTTCCATTGCTTCCCCAGATGCATTAGCAGGGAGCTGGATCAGAGGTAGAGCAGCCAGGACTGGAACCACTGCTCATGTAGGATGCTAGTATTGAGGTGGTGATTTAACATGACATCCCACGGCACCCATATTAACAGGTTTTAATACTGGTGGAGACCTATGTTGAAAACCCTGCCCTAAATACCAGTGTTCCCTGGCCCAGACACCGCCTACTCCTGTGTGTCCTCTCCCAGATGTGTGGCTGCAGCCCTCAGCACAGCTCCTGTCCCTTCCTTGGAGCACTCTCCACATGAAGCATGTTCTGAGACCCAGCAGCCTCCCAGACATCACTGGCCTGTGCCAGGGCTGCCTCCTGCACACTAGGTCCAAATCTAATTTCATCCCGTTCTCCCATTCGCTATGCTGATGAATCGTTCTGCAGTCCACCTACCTACCCTGGATGGGTACCTGGAGACCCTGGTACGTGCATGCGCTGCACCACTTCACGTCTGAAGTGCCTCAGAGCCTCCTCTCCTTCCCATCGGCATTGTAGCTGCTGAGACCCTCCTCACTTCCCATCTAGGTCACACAGCCCAGTCTTGGAAACCAACTCCACTAATAGCATTTCCTGCAGTGACAGAAATGTCATTTGCCTTGCCAAATATGCAGAGAAAGAGGGAGAGGCAGAGAGAGAGAGGTCTTCCATCTGCTGGTTCACTCCCCAACTGGCTGCAACGGCTGGAGCT